GCCCGTATTCATGAAGCCGAAAGCAGAGTCTTTGCTTGGCGGGGCCAGCCATGCAAATAGATTGTGGGAACGCGTTGCGTGCGCAGCGCTATAAAGGGACGGCCGTTCAGCCTCATAACACCGAACCTATTAATTTCTTTGTTGCAATAACGAGGCTGCTAAAGTAGAATCCTAATTTTTTTTTTCGCTGGACCAAACAGAATATCCATGTCGTGAGTGGTGCACGTGAGCGTGATTTGACCGTGAGGGCTACCCAGCCTGGGAAGGCTGTGTCCATTTCCACGGGAATCAGGCCAAAACGGCTGCCAAGGCAGTGGGATCTTTATTTTACGATTTACAAGCGGGCTTCATTTGCGCACATGTTAAACTCTGGTACTAGTAAGTCTCACTTTGTTCACATCGGCGGCCACACTGCTACAATTCCTCCTGAAATATTCGAACCGTGGCGTGATGTAAGTTTGCAAAACGAACGCCTAGGCGAGATGCTTGTCGCGGTGGTATCACTTTCTTTCGCGCGCACTGACACATCTTGATCGATGGTGCGAATCGGATCTGGGCGTTGGTGCGGCGCTGCAGCGTGGAAGGTCGCAGTCCATACATTGTCGCGCGTAACCTTGGCCGCGCTCGCAACGCGCCGCAAACGCGCGCAGTCGGCGAGCGTGTGCGCGTTCGACTGTTGTACGGTGCGTTTCGTGCATCACTCATTTAAAGCCGAGTGCATTTCTCCGGCGCGACAGCCACGGCCGGCGCGCGCGCGCTTTGAGTGGACCGCAAAGCCATCAGCACGTACACACACACGCACACACACACACACACACACACGCACACACACACACGGGCACACTGTCGATGTACTGCCGACATGCGAAGATCGGTACGCTGACCTAGGCCGGGCTGCATGCCGGTCGATAGCAAAGTGCTGTTGTTGTGCCGGCCACTAGGCCAATGCCGCTCGGGGTGGCGGTGCACTGTGGTGCACAGTGCAGCGGGGGCGGAAAGGAGCGAATAACAGGGCCGCTGCATGCAGGTCAGGCAGGCCCAAGGCAAGGCTTCCACCCGGCCTGGCGGGTCGCGCGAAAAAAAGGAGCTTGAAAAACGTGAAGCGACACAACAGAAGAAGTTAATGGCGCTGTGTGTAATCAGGGCACGCTTGATCATCGACTGCAGTAATGCTGATGGCATGCCCGGTGGGTCAGTCTGCGGGTACTTCCGCGACAGTGCCTACTGCATGCAGCAAGTGCCTTTGTGCGCGCTGGTGCACCGTCGTGGCAGCCTTTCCGCCGGACTGCCCCTCGACTACCTCTTCATGATGTGGCGACAGCGGGCCGCTTTCACTGGTCAGCGACGCGTCAGTGTGTGCTGCATACCCATCCGCCTGCATCCGAAATGGCCCACTGTGTGTGTGTGTGGTGTGCATACCCTGCATCCGAAACGACCGCTGCTAGGCGGAGCTCACTGGAATGAGAATGCTCAGGGAAGTGCCACCGCGGAGTGTCGCGCCGGAGTAACCCGTTGACGTGCGTTATCCTAAATGGGGAGTTGCGTAAGTACGCGCGGACACAGTGGATTCCTCGTGCTGCTGAGGTTTTTTGTGCGTCCTTGCGCGGGGCACTGTTTCACTGGACTTTTATAAGCTCGCTGACACAAGCTACTTCCGCACAATCTGAAACTTATTGCATTGTCAAAGGCTGGTCAAAGGTACTTCTCAAGAATCTCACCCTTAGCGCCCATTTTTGGAAAAATTTTAGATGTTTAAATGCGAGAAACTTGGCCGAGCTTGCGCGGAAGCCAATTTTTTTTGGCGATGCATGGTGTACGACGCGGTGCCCGTTAAGTCGCCCCACAGGCGCTGTTCTAATTGCGGGGACGCTCCATAAATTTGTCGCGCGTACACTGTGCGCTGTGCGGCGCCATGTCTACGCCTGGCCGCGCCTGGCCCAGCGCCAGCCGGTCTGCTGTGACCCGCGAGTCACAACGAACCCGGCCGGCCGAGCCATTGAGCGTAAAACCGAAGCGGCACGCGCTGCGCCCGCAGATACTATCGCCGGCCGGTCGACCGGCACTTAACGCGTATCAGCGTGTCTCCGGCCGGCCGGGGCGGGCTGCACCTCTCGGTACCCTCGGTACCTCTAGCGCGGCGCGGGCGGTGGGGCGGACGACCGGCCGGCCGGCCGTCCTTGCAACTCGCGCTTTTATTGCTATTTATTTACGAAGCGCGCTCGCGTCGTATACAAAGCGCCTGGAACTTTCACGCGCAACGTAGGTGTAAAATGGGCGGGTTTATGCGTGCCGGGTGACACCGGTCCTATTTTACGCTGAGTCTCGTCAGCGCGTTCGAGTGCGACGTGCCGCCGTCTCTTTCATTTCCTTTTTCCACGCGCGTCCTTTTCCGCCTTCTCTCCCTTCAGTGTGTTTGCCCACGGCTTGCTTGCTCTGGAGATAGCATCGATGAGGGGACACTTTTCACCTGTTTATGGTGGGTCCTCGGACCGCCGGCCGTGAGTGTGAGTCCACAACTACACGCGCTTGACAATGCCGCCTTATGTCTTCATCCGCTGCAGCTGCGTCCCTAGAGTCCTCATTAACCAGAACAAAGGGTAACTCTATCCCGAGCATGTCGTAACCCGGATGCACGGACGAAACGAGACAAGTTTCTCTTCATTTTGCCGTTTTGACGGTTCGCGACCCAGCTGCGTAAAGTCAAACTTTTTTTCTTCTTTTTGCTTTACGCTATTTACCGTTTGGCGCCGGGCCGGCGTGGCGTGCATGCCGCGTGTTCTCACGCCGCGGGGAACGCAAACCAAACATTGCGTGCGCTGGCGGCCCCTGGCGGGCGAAACGCAAACCAGCGACGCCGCACCGTGCACCCCGCTGCCATCGGATGCACCAGCAGCCCGGTTCCGCAGGACGTCGCTCTGTCTCTCTCGCACCACTACGAGACGCTCCATGAGTGCGACAGAGACAGAGCGACGAGATGGTCCTTCGGGCGGCAGCACCCTTTGGGGCCAAGCTCGGCGCTTTCCGTGCGCGCTGGATGGGGCACACTGCTCTTGCGTTGGAACGATCTTTCTTACGCTTCACGTGAGACTGTCTTTTCATTTAGGTTTGACTCGGGAGATAATGTGTAAAAGAGTGTCGAGTCGAAGCCCAGTGGATTTGTTTCGTGAATTGGCGGTGGTTTTGATTTGTGTAGAAATTGGTCTCGGCGTCGGGATCGATGCATCTGAAATGCATCGCGTGGCTGCAGCTCTGCGGGCCCCAGTCGTGGTGTGGCGGGGCGGGGCGGGGCGTGGCGGGGCGTGGCGGGGCGGGGCGTGGCGGGGCGTTCGGCCAATCGCGCACACCGATTAGGAGCAGTCGCAATTTGTGCATCTCAGGCCATCGCATGCTTGGCGCGGCAGCGGGGCCGCCTCCGAAACTCCTTGCCGCCGTTCCCTCCGCACCGGGCCGGGCTGGGCCGGGCTGCCCGCGGCGCGGCTGCCGCTTCGGACGCCATTTTTCTTCCCGCGCGATCTTCCCGAGGCTGGCGAAGCGCGGCCGGGGCCTGGCTGGGGCCCCGAGCGGTCACTTGTTGGTGCCTTCGGTGCCGATCCGGGTGGTCGAGGATGCCGTGCGAGCGTTGGGCGGCGGCGGCCAGGCGAGAGACCCTCGAGGAGATGCTCGAAGCGAAGGCTTCTGTCGCCAAATCCCACCTGACTGACTGCCAGTCCCATGACTCTTGCGGCCGGAAGAATCTTGACGGGCTTCTTTTCTTACGGGTGTACTCACGGCCCGTACATGTATGCGTGCGCTTGTGCGTTCGCTGTGTGTGTGTGTGTGTGTGTGTGTCTGCGCGCCAGAGGCAGCGTGTGGCGGCGACTAGCTAAGCCGAGCGCTAAGCCCCTCTGCGCCGCACATTCTACGGCTTCTGCCCGGCCAACACATTTGCACCGGAGATGGACCATTGTTCACATCCCCCCTCCCCTCCACGGGCTCTGCGGGCTGCGCAGGCTCCCGCGGGCACTCGGCGCCGATATGGGTGTACTCTAGAGGCTGGTCAAAAGCGATGCGCAGGACACTGCCTTGGCGGTGCAGGGGCAAAAGAAGCGGCTCGAATACGAAATAAATGCAGAACCGTGCGGCGGAATCGAGCGTGCGCGCCGCTGGGGAGATGATGGCACTGGCTGCGCCCGCTCCGCGCGCACGGAATGAAACTCTTTTTAAAAAATGTAATAATAATGCATAGTTTTCTTTGTTTCGTCCGGCCGAGTCGTTCTTCTTGTTCTCCTGCTGCCAGACGGAGGCTGATCGCTTATACGTGTTCACAAATCGCTGAGTCGCTGCCTCGCCGGATCATCTCCCTGTCTGGCCACACAAAGGGAATGCCTAAGCAGGGCCGCTGGCTTGCGGCAAAGAAGGCCCACTTACATGTTGTTGTTGCTGTTGGTTTCTTTCCTCTCTTTTTTTTTGCGGCAAACGTTATAAATATATAAAATAGAGCAATGCGCACAATCAAATCTACATTGCGATTGCGTTTGGCGGCGCGCCGCTCGGCGCAATATCGCTGTCGCCGCCGGGATTGCCCATTGTTTCCTGGCCTCCCGTTCCCACCGCACCTAGCAGACGACGCGGCAGACGACGCAGCAGACGACGCGCCACCGCCTTGCCGCTGCCCGCCGGAAATTGATATCACCTTTTTCGTTTTAATCGCCAATCATTCGTTATTACGGACAGGGAGCGGCGGAAAATCAGGAGTGTGTGTGTGTGTGTGTGTGTGTGTGTGTGTGTGTGTGTGTGTGTGAACCGCGTAGGTGTGTGTGCGTGTGTGCGAAGCACAGAAAAAAGTCATAAAGATAAATTAGAGGCTAATTATTACATTGCGGCTGCTGAAAGGGCAAACTACTGCTGTGTTCGTGCTGGCCGGAAAAAAAAAGTATATTGTCATCGCATGTGTTGTCGAGGCTGGGCTGCTCCTTTTTTTCCAGCCGCTCTGACCGACCCTTTATTTCTGGTTGTTGCAGGAGCCGCCGGTAGAGGGCGCCGACCCGGCCGACCCTCCGCCAGCCGTCGGGCGTCCGCGGCCCAGCTGCCGCATCCATGCGGGGGCCTTCTCCTGTCGCAGGTGACTTTGCTTTTCGAGCGCGGTTCGTGTCGAGTCGAAAACCCGAGTGCGACTTGAAACACTGCATAGACAAAGGGCTTGCGAGATGCGACGGCTCGCCGCGCCCTGCCCGAAACGCCCAAACGGGCGGGACTGTCGCGGGCGGACGGACGGGCGTGGCACCACGACGTGTGCGACCCATTACCCGGCCGGCGGACTGATTCCGAGAGTCGTTTTCGTCGCTCTGTCCCTCTCACACCTATACGGCGCGCCCCATGAGTGCGAGAGAGACAGAGCGACGAAAACGACACTTTCGGAGGCAGTCTGCGCGTTGCCGCGCTGCGGCGTAACCACTCGCGAATTACCCGCCTGACTTGACTGCACTGGCTGGCTTTCCACGCGCGCTGTGTCGCGCCGGTTTTTGCATGTGTGAGTGGCCGGGACGCCAGCAGACTGAGGCGCGCCGAACGTGCGGTATAGCATCGGCTGTGCGTTGTTGGAAGGTCAAAGTTGTGTGCCCTCTGCAGCGGCGCCGCCTCGCGCACACACCGCACGCATGCGCACACACACACGCCGTGCACACACACAATGCGTCCCGAACCCACGCATCACGCGAAATAGAGCAGGAGGGGGAAAGGATTTCACTGCGAAAAGTGATTTTGGACGCGCTTGTGTGTGTGTGAGTATGAGTGTGTGTGTGTGATGTGTGTGTGTGGTGTGTGTGTGTGTGTGTGCGCGCGCGCGAGTACTTTCGCCGCGCGCGTCCCACGCCACGCGTCGCCGCCCGGAAAGACCGTCGCCCTCGACGCCGGCCGATACCGCCCCGCGGCGCCCCGCGGCGGGTCATTCGTCCGCCGCGACGCCACGCGACGCCCCCCGAGTTGAAGCGAGATGGCGGATAAGGTCGCCTCGCTGTCTTTAGGGGACGCGACTACGGAAATGCACCAGGGCTGTTATTAGGGTCGTCCGTCGGGAGACCGGGGTAAAAGTGACACTAACTCTCTCGGTGTGTCAGCTTCACCCACCTTCGATCAAAAGCGGCGAATTAAAAGATACGGATATTTAAAACAGTTCCAGCGCTTATTTTAAAGACATCCTCTGGGAACTGTTGGTTCCTTCAACCTGCTCTTAAATAGCGCTGCCTTTGACATTTCTTGCCCACTTGCCCTGCCGATGGGCTGCCCGAAAGCGTCCTCGGAGCGTCCCCGACCTCTCGGCCAGGCGCATCCTTTTCCCAGGAAAAGCCCCGTTCTCATCCCCAGGCGTGTGCCGTGCTGCCGTGCGCGTCACGACCGCCACACTGTCAACACGACGTCGTGACGCTCACGAAAGCGACCCCTCCGTGCCCGGGGCGTCCTTGACCGCGGTGTCCTTCGTCCTTCGTGCCCTTCGGGGACGGACTCTCGAGCGCGTCCGTGGGTTCCCATCATTTCCACTCTGGCCCGTCAGATTTCCGAACATTTATCGGTGAGATTTTGTCCATGACTTGACACTTTCGGTCTCTGAGGCTAGGTTTGATTGGATTTCAGTCGGAACAAGCCTCAGCGAATGCCTTAATTTTGAAACGGCGACGTTGGGCGTCAGCACTGACCGCTAAAGCGCTACTTCCTATGCGACTCGCGGCTCGTATTGAGACGCTTTCCTCCGATCGTTAATCCGACGTGCCGGTTTCCCCACCGTGGGCCGCGCGTCGGGTGTGACATTAGCGTAGGGCCGGGCAGGCCCTAGCCAGGCCCTAGCCCGCCACCGCAGGGCCGGGATATCGCCGATTAGAGATCGGCGTCGAGACAAGCACTCATTAAAATGTCGTTTAAGACGCGCGGCTGCGGCACGCCGCGGCGCTGACCCTGCCGAACAAGCGCGGGTGCGTGTGTGGCGTCGGAAACGGCCGCCCGTCCGGACTGGAGCGCGACGCCGTCGCCCTAGCAGCCCTGGCCAGTCGGTCGCCGCGTTTTGTTATTAAAAAATGGCGCGCTTTCTCCCGCTTGTTTTATTGGAATTTTGGCGCGCTTTCGCCGCGGTTCGCCTGTCACCGCCGCAGTTGCGAATTTGGCCGCGCCGGCGTGTTGCGGTCGTAAAACGGCTAGGGGTGGGCGCGCTGCGCGCCGGGCCGCTCCGGCTGACAGCTCTGTCTCTGTCGCACCTGCACGCGACGCCCCGCGAGTGCGAGAGAGACGGAGACAGTGTGCAGATTGGCGGTGCAACTCGAGCAGCGCCGCAGCGTCCTGGCCATACACTGCATTGTTTATGATCGCCTAGGCGTGGTGCCCAGCCAAAGGTTACGAACGAAACAGGACCCGCAGCGGGCAAGGTGGTGTCCGCCGGGCGGGCCATGCGATGCCCCTCACGCGTCGCTGCGTCTGGACAACGACGGCACGGTCAGGCTTGTTGTCCACGTTGGCCCACCACCACCAACAACAACCAATACCACTACCACCACCACCACTACCACCACCTGACAACCAACACCACCACCACCACCACCTGACCACCACCACCACCACCACCACCACACCACACACAACAACAACAACCACCACCACCTTATCAACCAACAATACCACCTCAACCACCACCACCTCCACCACCACCACCTCCAACACTCCACCACCACCTCCAACACTCCACCACCACCTTCAACACAACAACAACAACAACAACAACAACAACAAAATGATATAAAATAGAAAATTTCCTTTGTCGTTGCTATTAGACTTTGGCGAGTTTGCGCACTCTTTTATTCGTTCCGTCCGAGCGATGGGTGCGCGGTGCGCGGCCCACGCGGTGCGAAAGGTCACTGCGTATGTAAAGCGTGCAGGCGGGCCTAGTTGTTGCCGCACCGCGCGGCGAGGCGGCAAGGCAGGCCCGTCGGCCCATTGGCTCCGCGTCGCATTTTCAATAACAGCGTTCAGTTCGACCGCCGCCACTCGTTTGCTATTTTCCCTTTTCGCCGTGTGGGTCAGCAGGCCGCCGCGGGCCGGCAGGGAAAAGTGGAGGCCGCGGAAAGTAAAAGACTCGTGCGGGGGCGTTCACTCTTCACTCAGAGTGCCAGGTGCACCCGCCCCATGTTCTTCCATTTTTGACCAGCTACTGATCGCTGTGTGTTCTGGTTGCAGACGGTCGGGGCCGTGGCGACGGGGCCGGCGTGCGTCCTGTAAGGGGCGCCTGCACTCCATTCTAGTCTCGCTCGGCAGCTCGACGCGCTTGGCGCAGGGCCTGGCCCGCCTCCCCGGCGACGCATCGCGCTGCCCGGAGCCGCCTGAGCCGGAGCCGCCCAACCCGGAGGCCGCGCGGCCGCCGCCGCAGCCGCCGCCAAAAGCGCCGCCCGACGCCTCGGCCACCCCGTCGACACCCCCGCGTCCACCGCGTCGGCGGCGTTGTTGCCACCATGGCGACCACGACGACGACCCGGCCAGCGCCCCGAAGGAGGAGGACCGGGGCCGGGTCTTCGTAGACCCGCTGCGGGGCCTGGCGCCTCCCCGGCGACGCATCGCGCTGCTCGGACCGCCTGAGCCACCACCAGCCCGGAGGCCGCGTGGGTTCCCCGCCCGCCGCCTAAACTTCCGGACATCCCTACCCTTTTCGACACTTTTGTGCCATTGCAATCGGGAGATTTGTTGCCAATGGCGAAACACCGATTACACCCGGCCACGTCCGCCAGGAGGAGGACCTGGGGGGTTTTGTAGACCCGCTCTTTGTAATACGGCCTGATTCACCGATTACAACAAATCACCGTATTGCGACTTGCACTCAACATCACCAATCATGCCGGATGTACCGTAGGTTCGCGCGGCCGTCGCCGCTGTTTTCCGCAGTTTCGGCCGTTAAAGCGCGCAAGGTCGCTGCGTGACTGCGCATCGGTGCACGGCCAGCGTCCGAGTGTGTTTCGTCATGTGAGGGCGCGGTCGCGACGTCGCGGTGCAGTGCCTGGCGGTGGCGCGGTCGGTCGCTGTGACGGAACTAAACGCTGGGAGGCGTCGCGGCCGGTGGCGGTCCGCGGCGGCCCGGACCCGCGGCGCTGTGGCCTTGGGGGTCGCGGGAACGATTACTGAAAGCGCGCCACTTTACTCGATTCAAAAGGCGAGCTTTTCCGTTTTCCGTGTAACTGGGCGCTCGGCCGGCCGGACTCCACCTGGCGCCTTTGCCAGCGGCCAGCTTAGCGGCTTCGGACAGCGCTTCGTCTCTCTCTCTCTCTCTCTCTCTCTCTCTCTCTCTCTCTCTCTCTCACACACAGTACGAGACGCGCCGCGAGTGCGAGAGAGGCTGACGAGAGCAGTGGTGCCGGCCGCGCCCCGCGCGTAACGGTCCCGCGTTTGCATTCTGCGGCGTTTATTGAATCCGCATTATTGACGAAATTCCCCCGGCCGAGCGGTGCACCGCGGTGCCGCCGACAGGTACACTGGAATGTTGATAAATTGCCCGCGAGATGGAGCCAACAGATGCGGTGCGTGCGCCGGGCGATTTTTCTTATTTCCTCGCCTCGTCTCGCGGCGCCTATCCGGGCGCACTTTGCAATGCAACTCGCTCGGTCGGTCGGTCAGTGGGCCCGCCACGCCGTGCCACGCCGTGCCACGCCACGCCGTATGCAGATGGATCTGTTCCGCCTCGACCCGCACGCACTCACTCGCATCACGGGCCAGTTTGTCGCCGCAATGATCGGCTCGGCTCGACTTGACTCGGCTTGGCTCGGCTCGACTGGACTCGGCTCGGCTTGGCTCGGGTTGGCTTGGCTCGGCTCGGCTTGACTCGACTCGTCAACGAGCTAGTCCCTGGCGGCGCAGGCCACACAGTGGGCCAGCAACCGGCGCAGGCGGCCAAAATTCGAGACGCGTTTTGAGCTCCAGAGTCGCTAAATGGGACTCGAACCGAACGTGTGACCCCACCAATGGATTCCTCGTTCGGAGAGCAATCCATGTGTCGGGTCACACGTTCGGTTCGAGTCCCATTTAGCGACTCTGGAGCTCAAAACGCGTCTCGAATTTTGGCCGCTCCACCGGTCTTCTGGCCCACTGTGCGCGGGGCGAGCGCCTGGCGGGTAGGCAGCCCGCTGACAGGCGTGCTCGACAGGCCCGTCTGCTCGCCGGGCGCTCCGCTCGGCTCCGCCAGTTGCTGGCTGGCCAGAGGCGGGGGCGGCACGCCCTGCGGACCGCGGCCGGCGGCTTGGCGGCAAATCGATGATGACAGTGGTGCTCCAACCAACCGCAGCCCGGAAAAAGGGGGAGACCACCGAACTTTACTCCTCACACGCAAAAAAATTCAAATTCAAGGTTTTCCTTTGAAATTCCTGCCTTTGTTTCAATTTGTAAAGCTTAAAAAATGTGTTCTTGGTGTTGTGGTTTAGGGGAATTAACTACAGCCTAATTTGTACTCTGAAATTCACCAAACATGTAGAATTCACTGAAATTCATTAAAATTCATCGAAATTCGACTAAAATTTCATCGAAATTCGACTGAAATTTATCGGAATTTGACTGAAATTCATCGAAGTTTGACTTAAATTAACTGGATTTGAACACCGCAATTCACAGTGATTTCCCTTTGTTGTGGTTCTGGACCTCTGCGTTGGTCTGACTGATGACCCTCTTGTCTTCCCTCAGGATTCGAGAACTCGGCGATGAAGAACAGCTTCTCGCTGTCGTCGCTGCAGCCCCACTCGGGGTTCCCGGAAAGCCCGGAGCGCGCCAGGCTGCGCCTAGAGCGGCCCTACAACTCGCTCACGAAAAAGTCCAGGCAAGTTTCAGGTTTTTGGGGTTTTCTATTTCATCGGAGGTCTGGGTTTTCCTCGATGTCTGTGTTTGTTCGGCAGGAGGGACCCCGAGCAGGAAGGATGGCGCCGGTCCTGGGGCAGCCACAACAAGGACGAGTTCTGGGCCGCTCTGCAATCGGACTACGACTACCTCATGGACAACAATCTAATCGACACCTGCAAGGTCGGTCTCGGTCCAACGCCACCTCGAAAAGCAACAAAGTAAATCAAAATTAACTGACAATTCGGTTGTGTGTTTCTGCAGGAGGCGAGCGGAGATCTGTCCGTGTACAACCACGCGGCCAGTTCGGACGGGGACTGGAGCTTTAATCAGTTCACGGCACACTTCTTGGAACTCTATTCCTGGCTGAATAGCATCCAAGAGGCAGTGTACGGCAAGGAGGAGACGGTCACCGATCGTGGACTGAGAACAGTGAGCATACGGATCCCATTTCATTAGTGTCTAACTTGGCGGCGATACTGCTCTACAAATCAAAGAGTGTACATAGTATGCTCTAACTGGAGCATGCCTGCAAGCACGCTCTAGCTAGCGCATGCCTGCCAAGCATGCACTAACTAGTGCATACATGCCATGTACAAGCTTCCTGATGCAGAAAACTTCCTATCCCTTATGGAGTAAACGTCTGCTTCAGTTAGCGTGTACATGGCATGTATGCACTAGTTAGTGCATGCTTGGCAGGCATGCGCTAATTAGAGCGTGCTTGCAAGCATGCTCCAGTTAGAGCGTACCATGTACACTCTTTGATTTGTAGAGTGCTGTTAGACCAGCGGTTCTCAACCTTGGGGTCGCGACCCCAAATGGGGTCGCGAAAAAATTTCGAGGGGTCGCGGCGAGGTAACTGGGGTCGCTTGGGGTGGCGGCGGTTTCCCAGCTGGCCCACACGCCGAGCACTGGCGGGAACAACTTTTAAGTTGATCAAAACGGTCACAAATGTCTTTGAAAAATCGTGTTTTGGGCTGACTTTAGGCATCCACTGCGTCTGATCCGAGGCGGTATTTCGTCCTCCCTCAACGGGCAATTGGTCTTTGGACCTTCCTTTAGCATGCCTTTGTTACGGAGTGCGATTATCTGCCTTGGTTTGGGAGCAGTTTTGCCGCAAAGTTGATCAAAACGGTCACAAATGTCTGAAAAATCGTGTATTGATCAACTTTGCGGCAATACTGCTCCCAAACTAAGGCAGATAATCGCACTCCGTAACAAACGCATGCTAAAGGAAGGCCCAAAGACTAATTGCCCGTTGAGGGAGGACGAAATACCGCCTCGGATTAGACGCAGTGGCTGCTTAAAGTCGGCCCAAAACACGATTTTTCAAAGACATTTGTGACCGTTTTGATCATTTTTGCTGCAATACTGCTTCCAAACTAAGGTGGATTATCGCACTTTGTATCAAAGGCATGCTAAAGGAGGGGTCGCGTGGGGTCGCGAAATTTTTCCTGGGGGTCGCGGAAATTTTTCGCAACAAATTTGGGGTCGCGAACCGAAGAAGGTTGAGAAACGCTGTGTTAGACCAAGGCGGGAATTCCCGCTCCATAGAGAAGACTCAATGACTACAACCCCGTCGAGGGAGTGCGATTTTCCGCCCTACTAGATTTGACGCAGTGGATTCTTAAAGGCCTACAAAATCACTGTCTTTGGACATCATCGTTCACACTTCCGTCTGTTTGCAGAGCCATATGGAACGGATGCAGCGCGAAGGCTTTCGGCGCCGAATGTTCAACGAACAATCTACCCGCCTGTTAGTGCGCTACCCGGACCTGCGCGACGAGGTGGCGTGGCGCGTCGCCCACCTCAACTCCAAGTGGGAGACCCTGGAGCTGGCCATGTCCCCGTCCATCGGGACGTCGAGCCAGCGAGACATGTGCACGGGTAAGAAGCGCCATCGCCGCACAGCACAGTGGGCCAGAAGACCGGTGGAGGCGGACAAAATTCAAGATGTGGTTTGAGCATCACAGTCGCCAATTTTGACTCGTGCCGAACGTGTGACCCCAGCAATGGCTTGCTCTCCGAACGAGGCGCGAAAGAGATGACCACCTTCTGGGGTGCAAGGTGGGCGCGTCGGATGGGTCGCCTACCCGCAGGGCTGTAAGGATGTAGGATGGGTTGCTTGCCTCCGAGGCTGACTGGAACCCTACGATGTCCAATGGGTGTCCGACTGGAGCCGTGGGCGCGTCGGATGGGCTGCCTACCCGCAAGGCTGTAAGGACGTAGGATGGGTTGCCTACCTGCAAGGCTGTAAGGATGCAGGATGGGTTGCCTACCTGCAGAGCTGTTTGGATGTAGGATGGGTTGCCTACCTGCAGTGCTGTAAGGATGTAGGATGGTTTGCTTGCCTCCGGAGTTGGACGTCCATTGGATTGCCTACCCGCAGGGCTGTAAGCATGTAGGATGGGTTGCCTGCCTCCGAGGCTGACTGGAGCCGAATGCTCGTTGAATGGGTTGCTTACCTGCAGGGCTGTAAGGATGTAGGATGGGTTGCCTGCCTCCGAGGCTGACCGGAGCCTTTTGAACGTCCAATGGGTTGCCTACCCGCACGGCTGACCGGAGCCAAGTGCTCGCAGGATGGGCTGCCTGCCTCCAAGGCTGCTTGGTGCACTTTGACAACTTCAAGATTTCATTGTTTCTTCCTTTCTCAGTAGTGTGCTTCGTTTTTTCTGCAGACGTGGAGCACGAGGTTCGCTGCCTGCGGAAGTGGGTGCGAGAGATGGAGGCGCGTCTGCAGCCGCTGGACTTCCGCGCGGGCATCAACTGGACCTACGCGGAGCTGGAGCAGCGGGCCAAAGAACACATGGTGAGTGGAATCGAATCCGATAGCGATCCCTCGCGGAGGACCAAAGAAGACATTGCAAGGGAAAAGGAATCTGAGTAGCGATCCACGCAGCTTCTTCGTCATGGACGCCCCAACCCAACCGTCCTCGGTCCTCGGGCCACGGACCGTGACGCTCCGCGCCATTTCTCCTCTCGCCAGACTGTCGCGCAGTGGCGGATCCAGAGTCAGCCCAAGGGGGGGGGGGGCAAAGTAGCACTTTTTGCCTACTTACAGGGGCAAATTGGTGCTTTTTGCCTACCTTTCAAGCGGCTATCTAGGGGTCAAGGGGGGGCAATTGTCCTTTTGCCCCCCCCCTGGATCCGCGCTTGTCGCGGGTTCTACGCCGCCCCTCTTTTTCGTTCTGTTTCTTTCCTTTCTTTCTCTTTTCTTTTGCCGCGGGTATTACGCTTGACCGTCGTCTCTGATGGGCGCCGTGCCGGTCGTGGCCGGTGGCTGAGAGTCTGTCTGTCAGTCTGTCTGTCTGTCTGTCTGTCTGTCTGTCTGTCTGTCTGTCTGTCTTTCTGTCTGTCGGTCCGTCCCGTCCGTGCGTTGATCCATCGGCGTCGGGATGGAAGGTGCGGTGCGTGCCTGCGCGGCGTGACGCTTGCGACGCAGTGCGACGCCCACCCCTGCAGGCCTCGCGCACGCGGGGAAAGGCCCGATCGACTTTTGTTTTCGGAATGTTTTCCATTTTTGTCCTGCCGCGGGAAGTTAGCGAGGCGTTGCGAGCGGCGGCGAGGAGCGGTTCACAAAGCCATCCCCCTCCCGTGCCGTCCCTGCGCCTCGCCCTGCGCGCTGCACGGTAGGGCGCCCGATGGCCACCGTCGAACTGCGCAAGCCGCGACAGTACCGGAGCGATCCGCCGGGAAGCACCGGCCGGCCTGCACTGTGCTGGACACACGAGGAAAATCGCCAGAACGACACCCTTTGAACCAGCAGAGCCGTCGCCGTGCTCGTGTTCCCGCTGGTTCCTTCGTGATCCCTGCCCGCGCCGTCCTCGCGTGCTGCAGCGTGCAGCGAGACGGCGGCGGCGTGTGGTGCACTGCACGATGCACTGCATGATGCACTGCATGACGGCGGCGAGGGTCAATGTTACTTGCTCAGCCGCGTCCCGTGTCGTGTCGCGTGCGCCGGCTAGCCATGTTACACTTCCACCGCACCCGACGGACGGACGGACAGACGGACACGCCTGAGTGATCTACGCGCCGGCCGGCGCGCTGCGGCCCAGTCCAATGACCGCGATTCAAACTCGCGCCGATTTTATTCTCGAGCGCGAAATGGCGGTTATTCGCACGCAGTCTGGCACCGGTGTGGCACCGCCGCGAGCGGCGAGCCCTCTTCCGTTTCGTGATGCAAGCCGCGATTCGGCCATGCCGCGACGCCGCGTCGAGGGGGTCGCCATTTGCAATTGAAATAGGAAGGCGCGCGCTTTTGCGCGCGACTGTTGATGACACGCGTCTTTTGTCGGCGGTGCGAATGAAACGACGCCCCCGTGTGTGTGTGTGTGTGTGTGTGTGGTGTGTGTGTGTGTGTGTGTGTGTGTGTGTGTGTGTGTGTGTGTGTGTGTGTGTGTGTGTGTGTGGTGTGAGGAGGAGAGAGAGAGAGAGAGAGAGAGAGAGAGAGAGAGAGAGAGAGAGAGAGAGAGAGAGAGAGAGAGAGAGAGAGAGAGGAAGAGAGGGGGCAGGGCGCCCCAATCACAGCCCGGCGAGCCCCTTTCTTCTTCTCCCCGAGCGACGCGTCGCGCGTCGCATAGCAGCCGAGTGAGACTGACTGCCCCGCGCATGCCCGCGCACGTGCCCGCGGTAAATGAGAAGTCCCGGACAATGCAGGGGCGCATGCGTGCCGCCCGGGGCGCTGCAGCCGCAGGGGCTGGCCCGCCTTGGTCCCCCCCGTGGGAACGGCGCGGGCAGTTGTCCGCGGAGCCTATTCCGAGAGTCGTTTTCGTCGCTCTGTCCCTCTCGCACTCATGGGGCGTCCCGGATAGGTGAGAGAGAGACAGTCCGACGAAAACGACCCTCGGAATCACTGGCTTTGGCTTCCAGCTTCCAGGCTGGACACGCGTGAAATTATGGCCGGCAGGTCTTCCTCCAGCCTGCTCCAGGCGCTGGACCACTGCGTCTGCGCGATGCGCGTCCGCGCCCAGCCCGACGACGTGGCGTACCGTTTGACCACCGCGCCGACCGCCTGCCCGCCTGGCCGCCCGGCCGTTTTATGACCCGAGGCACAAAATTACACGTGCACACACACACGCGCGCACACACACACACACACTCGTACGCACGCACACGCACGCACGCACCTCTGGCCGCCAAAGCTGGAGGGCAGTGCGCGTCGTGAGAACGTCCAGCGGTGCAGCGAGCACGTGCGGGCGCCACGCACGGACGGCAATGGGGAAGGGCCGGGTCCTGGGCGTCCTGGGCCCGCACAGTGGGCCAGAAGACCGGTGGAGGCGAACTCTAGACGCGTTTTGAGCTCCAGAGTTGCTAAATGGGACTCGAACCGAACGTGTGACCCCACCAATGGATTGCTATCCGAACGAGGAATCCATTGGTAGGGTCACACGTTCGGTTCGAGGCCTGATTAGCGACTCTGGAGTTCAAAACGCGTCTGAGAGTTTTGTCCGCCTCCATCCTCCACTGTCTCCACAACACTCAAGGGTCCAAAGGCAACGAACCTCACTTTCCTCAACCTGGGATGGGTCATACTTCCACGGAGGTTGCCCCATACCCCCCCAGTAGAGGGTGGCTGCCTCAGACAAGACACAGCCTGCATTTGAGGTTTGCAGTCTGAGTTCTGTGTTTGTTGTAGTTGCTTACTCGAACGCTAAAGGTCTGCTGAGGCCTAACAGCGCCGATGACGATGACGATGACCGTTCTTCTGGCCCACTGTGGACCGCCACCTTAAGGCAGCGCCTCCATCCAGCCAGCCGCGTCCGACGGGACTGCCTACCGGCCGGGCGCTCGGCAGCGCGCCTGCCAAGTGCCGGGTAGGCAACCACCGCGCGGCGGAGTCTGGCGGGCGTGCCTATGGCCCACCTTGCAGGCGGCCCAGGGTGCGTCGCGTCGGCTGCCTGAGCGTGCTCATGGCGTGCTTGTGCTGGAACGGCCCCGGCGGGGTGCCCCGGCCGCGCGGCCCCGCGTGGCGTGCACTTGAACAAACTTTCGCCCCGGCCTCTGCTGTGCCGGCGGAATGCAAGTCGACTTTGTTTACACGTTCGGATCGCGATTGCAATTGGAGCCGAATGTTGTCGGGAAAGCCGACATCGCCGGCTAATACGATCCATCGCGCGCAGCGCGGAATTTGTCGTGGCGGTTTCTCTCTCGGCGCGTTTTGCGCGATTTGTTTCTCGTTTCTCGGCGACGACGACGGATAGAGTCCGGCGAACGAAAGCGCCTGCCTGATGACATCCTCGGACGGACGGGACGGCGGCCGGTGCGGACGTCCCTCGACGTCGGCGCCGTTTTCACGCTTTCCAAGGCGTTGCCGCGCGCCGCCGCGTCGCCCCGTTGCGCCACCGCCACCTCTCCAGGCACTAGGCCTTGTTAGCCCGCGGCGAGGATTTTGCGCCGCTCCTGATTCCGAGAGTCGCTCTCTGTCTCTCTCGCACTCGCTGGGCGTTCCACTCAGGTGCGAGGGGGACGGCTGCATTTTGGTTGCCGCTGGGAACGAGCAGCTGGTGCACTGGCGGGCTGCAGTGGCGACCAGACCACAGTGCGGTTGCAGGCAGGCGGGCTGGCGCGGCCCGTCGGCTTGCACACTTCCCAATTGTTTGTTGCGATGGAACCGCTCCAATCTTTTTGTAACAGTACAGCGGCGACTGCTGTGCCGGTGTACCCGAGTCTCGGGCGCGCCGAGAGGGAAACGGTCTGCGCCGCCAAGTTTGTAGGGGAGCGCTCCTGTTCCAGGGCGGCTACAGCCAAGGCTACAGCCTCGCCACTGCAGTGCATGCACCGACGGCCAAGTCGCACTGTGTCACACACGGAAGGATAATGCTCGGCCTTTTCGTGTGTGTGTGTGTGTGTGTGTGTGTGTGTGTGTGTGTGTGTGTGTGTGTGTGTGTGTGTGTGTGTGTGTGTGTGTGTGTGTGTCGCGTGGACGACGAAGCGGTTTCCTTATTTGAAGCACAGTTCCGTTGATTCCTTGCAGCGATTCGGTGCACGCGAAAACTCAGTTTCTGCGCCGTGGTGTAGCTTCTCTGCGGCGGGCCATTGCTTTTCGATCAGTCCTTTCTCGCGCAGACTGGGGGATCGCGATGTGGGGAGGCCGGTCCGGTGCGGTGTGCCTCCGCGGCGGTGAGCCGAGGCGACCGGGAGGCAGTCCGCCGCGGTCGCCGTCAAAGAACCCAGGGCGACGTGTGTGCGGTGTGCTGCCGCGGGTGGCTCCATCCCGGTGGCCGCCCTGGGAACCAGGAAGCGCATCGCAGCACCGCCACCGCGAAGAAAGAATGAGAGAGAGAGAGAGAGAGAGAGAGAGAGAGAGAGAGAGAGAGAGAGAGAGAGAGATCGTCACCTCTCGAAGAGCAAGGTGGAGCGCGGGGCACACTGGCGGGGCCGCCTTTTCGATGATGCCCCATTCGCCTATGCCTCTCAGCGTGCATCGCCGTTTGTGAACCATTTTACGGTCCCAAACAAAATGGCGCCCGGTAAGTGAGGGGGCTGTAACGCGCCGAGATTTGTGAGGTGGTTGGCACAGGCCCGTTAGTGCCGTCGGAGGCCTACCTGTACCCTTTTCGCGTGTCGCAAACTGTTTTCACTTTTTAAAAAATGTAGCTGTATTTATCTAAAAATGAAACATACTATATTTGATTTATTTTGTTTGATTTGTTTTTCCACTGCTATGGGTCTGTCGTCAAATAAATCTCGTTGTTTTACCATTTAAATTTTGCGAGTTGGGAAATACGCGGGCGAAACGGCACGGCATTTATCGCAGTAGTTCCGCGCTGCGTTTGCCGAGTTCCCCGCGTGCCTGCGCCCCGCCGTGCC